GAATGCCACCTTTGGACAGATTCTATCATCACCCTCAGTTGAATTCAGGCATCGGCAAGCAAATGGAAGCCATTTGTGTGCAACAGGGTCGTGGAGATCCAAAGCAACACCAACCCCATTCGGTGGCGACACTGTTCAGGGAAGGACAACCCCGCGGACATGCTCACCCGAGGAGTACCCGCCTCCAACCTGACCCTTTCCAAGGTGTGGTGGCAGGGCCCGCAGTGGTTGTCACGTGATCCAGATTTCTGGCCTCAAAGAAGAGAGACGGACGACGAGGTTCCGGATGCTGACGCAGAGCTAAGAGGCAAAAGCACAGTGCTGCTCAGCAAAACAACCGTACAAGAGCCTCTCCTCGTACTTACAGACTACAGCAAATAGCTCAAGGCAATGAGGGTGACGGCGTGGATCATGCGATTTATTAAAAAGTGAAAGCCGCTTACAACTCCCTGTAACGCCGAATTAGAGCGCAGCTCTTGAGGAGGAGGAGGAGGGAAGGGCGCTGGGGGGGGGGGGTTAGACTAACCAAAGGGGGGTCACGTGACCTTGGGGGTCACGTGACCCCCAATGCCGATGATGTCATCACTGACGTCACTGATAATGTCATCAGTGACGATGACGATGCGGGTACCGATGACGTCATTAGTGACGCCACTGATGACTTCACCAGTGATGATGACGATGACGATGCGAATGTCGGTGACGTCATCAGTGACGTCGCTGACGACGTCATCAGTGATGATGATGACGATGCGGATGCCGGTGACGACATCAGTGACGTCACTGATGACGTCATCAGTGATGATGACGATGACGATGCGGATGTCGGTAACGTCACCGGCGTCCATATCGTCATCGTCATCATCACTGATGACATCACCAGCATCCACATCGTCATCGTCATCATCACTGATGACGTCACCGGCATCCGCATCGTCATCGTCATCATCACTGATGACGTCATCATCACTGATGACGTCACCGGCATCCACATCGTCATCGTCATCATCACTGATGACGTCACCGGCATCCACATCGTCATCGTCACTGATGACGTCATCATCATTGATGACGTCTTCATCACTGATGACGTCACCGGCATCCACATCATCATCGTCATCATCAGTGATGACGTCACCGGCATCCGCATCGTCATCGTCATCATCACTGATGACGTCACCGGCATTCGCATCGTCATCGTCATCACCACTGATGATGACGTCATCAGTGATGATGACGATGACGATGTGGATGCCGGTGACGTCATCAGTGTCGATGACGTCATCGGGGGTCACGCGACATCGGCGGGGGTCACGTGACCTCGGGGGGTCACGTGACCTCAGGGGAGTCACGTGACTTCGGGGGGTCACGTGCCCCCCCCCCCCCCACGAAGTCACGTGACCCCGGTGGGGGGCTCGCGCGGTGCATTATGGGACATTTCCCATGATGCACCGCGCGGTTACGCCGACGCCGACGCCGACGGCGACGCCGACGCCGCTCAAGCCGGAAACGGGCCCCTAAGAGCTGCGCTCTAAAACTTGCAAGGCAAGTGTTCAAGAGTCAGCGGACCTCTGTCCACCAATGAATCGGAGGAGGCAGAGAGATACTGGACGAAACACATTCAGGAAGAGAGCTACAGCGAAGAAAAAGCAAGCCTCGTCGCCGGTGACCGCCTGCGGTCGAGCTCGCGTATCCGAAATCTGCACCCTTTCTTGGACGAAGACGGTGTGATCCGCATTGAGACTCGACTGCAGAATGTCTCGGCACCCGACGAGACGAAGTTTCCGGTGCTACTCCCGGGAGACAACCGTTTCACGGAGCTCCTCGTTGAGCACACGCATGTTCGCATTCTGCATGGTAGTGTGAGGGCTACTCTGTGTTAACTGCGGGAGCGCTACTGGGTTGTGAGAGGGCGACAGCGTGTAAAACGAGTGATCGGACGCTGTAAGATGTGTCTTCGACTCAAGCTCAAGCTCATGACCGCCCCGATGGCCCCTCTGCCTGAAGACCGCGTGACAAAGGCAGAACCGTTCGAGGTCTGTGGTGTGGACTTTGCTGGACCGATGTTTGTGAAATCCGGAACAAACAGTGTCAAGGCATATAGTCTTGTATTCACATGCGCTGTGAATACAAGAATATATACGCGAGCGATACATTTAGAACTTGTCCTCGATATGTCTACCAACGCCTTTCTAATGGCTTTCAGACGCTTTGTGTCAAGGCGTGGGTTGCCGCGAATGATGTGTTCAGATAATGCACTGACTTTCAAACGAGCTGCTAAAGATCTAAAGCAGATGTAAGATGTGTTATGTAGTTTCGAATTGAAAGACTACTGCACCACCCACCGAATCACTTGGAGGTTTATCGTTGAAAGAGCTCCATGGTGGGGTGGTTTTTGGGAGCGCATGGTGGGGATCGGTTAAGAGTTGCCTGAAAAGAAACATCGGCAAGGCTGCGATTGGTGTCGATTAGATCACAACTGTACTAACGGAAGTTGAGACTGTGATCAACTCTCGACCAATGACGTATGTCTACTCCGAACCAAACGAACCAAATGTCTTAACTCCTGCTCACTTCCTTTGTGGTAGGAGGCTAACCACATTACCTCATCATAAAAGAGGAGACGTGACATTTACTCGAACGGAGTTGGTTGGGAGATGGTCACACCGCCAGCGATTGATGAATATGTTTTGGAACACGTGGGCTAAAGAATATCTGTATAACCTACGAAGTGCGCATGCTCGTAGGCCTCAATCCAGCAGCGGTCTCAATGTCGGTGGTGTCGTAATTGTGCATGACGACCACATTCCTCGATTGTTTTGGAGAACCGGCAGGATTCTGGAGTGTTTCCCAGGTCGGGACGGAAATGTGCGAGCCTGTAAGATAAAATTGTGTAACGGCTTAGAGGTAAGGCGCCCTGTTCAGCGTCTATACCCACTTGAGATGAGCTGAGCTCATCTGCGGGGAGGATGTTGCGGATAGAGTTTTCACGCGCCACCTCAGTCTACTGGCTCGTATACCACAAATCACTTGAGCCGCGGCGAGGGGGCACGGAGTTTGGAAACCCGACGCAAAGACGGGGAGTTTTCGGAGACCGTTAAGTCTACGTGGTCGACGTAGTGTTTTATGACCAGGAGAGAGAGAAACGGGGGAATTTCTAGGTTGCCGGGGTGTGGCTCGGTCTCTTTGTGTTGGGTCCTCCTACAGGAAAGACGCGGTTAACGCGTCTTCGGCTCGAAACTGTCTTTATAGCAATGTAACTTTCAGTGTGTACCTTTAATAAACAGTTATTCAGTTTGTCCGATCTGGTTCTACAACAGTGATCACTTGCGGTGCATCCGACTCACGTTTGGGGCAGTTTCTCGTACCATGGCCCTCTCCTCCGCACCTCGTGCACACTCGTGGTCGAGGGGGTTTGTCACAATTCTTCGCGTAGTGTCCCAGCTTTTGGCAATTGTAGCACTTGACGCCACGTGTTGTCGCTTTGTTCTGTTACGGCACGGACGGTAGCTCCGCTGATGGCTTGGGTCTCGAGGTTCCAGTTGACGCGAACTTCGCATCTCGGTTCTTCTCGAAGTGCTCGTAGCTTTTTATGTCACGCAGGAGGTCGTTCACAAAGTGGTGTGTTCGATTCCGCATAGCGTAACTCAGCTCTCTCGAAAGCAGTCCTGTGATGATCTCTTCCTTCGTTTCGTCCACGTTAAGCCCGAGGCGTACGCAGAGTTTTTCTTTCTCGCGAACTTATGTTTCATGACACTCGCCTTTCCTCTGAACTCTTTGCTCCATGATCCGCCACTGTTCCGTCTTGGTAGGTGGGCGCACGAACGCGTCCCGAAACGCGGTCTCCTAGGCAGACCAGGCTTTCCACGCCATACCCGTTGACTGCTGACAATCGCGCGCGGGTCCCGACAACTTGAGCTTCGCCACTGTGATTTTTTCGTCGTCGTTCCATCTTGCCAACTCGGCGACCTGGATGAATTCCGTGATCCACTCGTTGGCCACGATATCACCCTCAAATGCCGTGAACTTGGGAACCGCTGCCGACGCATCCGGAGACACCCGCATGGCGACGTCCGAAGGCGCTGGTCGACTCATCTGCGACAGCGTAGCGTACGAGGAGTTCTTGATTCTGGTGCAACACTTGAGCCATCATCTCTATCACGGCCGGAGCATTGTCCTGAACTGACGGGTCGGGCTTGACGTCCTTCTTCGACATCGTAGGTCACTCGTGGACTCACTGCGTCACACGCGGTTTGCGGTTAGGCTTCGCAGCGTTGTTGCTGTTGACGATCCACCGGAACTCCTCGCCGATCGATGTAAGTGGTAGTTGCATCCCACTTCTGATTGTAATAGAAAAACTGGATGGTTTATTTGGGAACAATTAAAACGTACATTTGGTACAAACTCGGAAACTTAAAAAAAAGCGCGATGTCCATCACGCTAATGCTGGCGCTAACACGTGGTCTGCATCGTCGTTTCACAGGCCGCACATGAAGCCGGTCAGCTGCTCTAGACGGGGGTGTAGTAGTCTGTAGAATTTTCGCACAGTGCATATTACAGCTTAAAGTGCTTCCTCGAGGGGCTTGTGCACATATCCAGCTGATTTTTCGTCACAGGGGAACGCAGTTTGCTGACGACACTGCCTGTCGGTGGAGTGACTTAAATCGAAGCGAAGTTCAATAAACTGTTGCCAAAACAACAACCTACGAAGCTCGAACACCAGCGCAAAGCAGCTCGAAGGGACTCTCCGTGTGGGGTGAAGTGGGGTGAGGTGGTTGCGCCCCTGGCGACAAGCAAGTGAACAACCTACGGAGAAAAAAGGCCATTGACTCCCGGGCGATCGCAAAGGCCGTAAGAAGAGAAAGACAGCACGCGCTTCCAGTCCGGCCGTGCCTACACATATCATCGAAAGAACAGCAATAACGACGAAGAGGAAGACCTTCGAACGGGCGACCAGTTGACCCAGCCAGAGCCTTCTTTAGCCTGCCTCTTGCGCAATAATGTCCAATGAAGCCCACGGAGAACAGAGTCACAATGAGAAGACGGAGAAAGCCACTGGGCGTGAACAGGGCCAGAGTTCTGTTCTGGACATCCCGAAACGAGGAAAGCCGCAGAAGCGCTCTTCCCAAAGCAAAATGAAAGCCCTCCAGGAGGAGTCCCTCAAGAAGATGCAAGACCTCGTGAGTCCTTAACTCTCGCACATGAAAGCATAAAACATTTTCTCGCATCCTTGGCACCGATATAGGATTCAAGTGCCAAATGGCCTGGTAGGCAGGCGTGTGTCATCGCTTTGACGCAAGTGTAGATATATGTCTGGAGGCAGTCCGCAAGCACGTCACTTAACCACCAATCAAGGAGGTCATGTGCTTCCGCAACACCACCTAAATAAGCGAGGCCCGTGTATTATAGCCTTTCGACGTCATCAAAGTGAGATTAAGCGCGCACACAGACTGAGCACGAGCGCTGCGTCAGCGTTCAGATAGGCCACGTGTCCCGTCACTCCGTCCAGGGACACTCTGTACCGGGCTCGAGCCCAGTCGCTGAGTTGACGCCATCCGAAGGTGATGACGTCCCGTTGGAGGAAGGAGAGTCCTTTCGCAGGCCATGATCGTTCTCAAGTCAAGTCAAAATGTATTTTTATTTGTAAACAATATCTTAAATAATTACACTTACTCAGACGGGGGTCCCAAAGTTTTCAAAGAAAACTCTTGAAGAGACCCTTTGGTAAGAATGGGTTTGTCAGCAATCAAGTAGGCACCATTATACATAAAAAATAATGGAAAAAAATTAAACATGATTATATATAATCAAAATATAAAACCAACTGAAAAGAGAGAGAAGAAAATCTAGAAAGTCAAGGAAAAAAGAAAGACAAAATCAGCGTGGGTTTGTGTGTGTGTGTGATTGTGGGATTCTGTGAAAGATGGGCGTAAGAGAGAAGAATGAATCGTGGGGGGGGGGGGGGGGGGGGAGGCGTAGAGATTGTTGATGAATTATGCAGATAGTATGTGCGCACGTACGGCTTGTTTAAAAATATAGAATGATGACTTGGCAGTTAGGCTGTGTGGTTGGGGAGTTCCACGTTTTAGTAGCAATGTAAATGAAAGTGAACGCGCCTTTTTTAGTTCGTATGTATGGTATAGACTGTGACGCTTGGGAATGTGAACGCAGAGGATACATGACATCTTGATGAGTACACTAATTGAAGAGCATGTTATCTGCTTAGTGATAAACTTAAATGTTAATAGTGCTATGAGATAATCGATGCACTGATGAACTGTTAAAATAGTGAAGAAGCGGTATGCAAATTTAGCACTTTCACGCCTATTAACAAATAGCATTGCTCGTAGTGCTGTGTTCTGGGAAATTTCTATGGGTTTTAGTGTTGTTTTATATGTGAATCCATGAATGGATCACCCGTACGAAATGTGAGCATGAATAAAGCTATGATAAAGCATCTGGAGGGTTCGCAAGGAAAATATGTGCCGTAGTTTATATAGAATTGGTATATTTGAATATATCTTGTCAGTGGTGTCTTTTACGTGCTGACGCCATGTTAATTGATGGTCAAGTTGTTAGTCCTAAAAATTTTAGTAAGGTACACTCGAGTTATGTTCATACTTGCAAACGAAAGTTGAGATGTGTTTAAAATTAGTTTGTTTTTCGGGGCAAAAATTATGTAGCCTGTTTTCGCTATATTGGGAACTAATTTGTTAAAGGTTAGCCATCTAGCTAGCTTTTCAAAAATGTGTTTAGCTTTCATGTATAGCTCTGTCCCGCTTGCATTCGATATAAATATATTTGTATCGTCGGCATAAAAAATTAAATATTTTTTGTCAATAGGCTACCAGATCATTATTATATATTAAAAAATGAAAAGGACCTAATATTGAGCCTTGCGGAACACCGATAATACTAGGTTTATTTGTTGAAATAGTGTCAGCTAAAGGGACAGGTGTGATTTCTGTGATTTCTAGACAACATTGAGTTACGCCAGTACCTTCTAGTCGTTTGGTTCAGAACTCAAGCTGAAAATAATGGTAATTATATAGGTCTAAAGGGAATAAAAAACGTCCATATCAATCATCGCTCGATAGTTTTCAGAGGTAATTCACGATGGGGCTCGTATTATGTAAAGCGTGCGTTTTTCTTTTGTTTTTTTTTTTGTGTTTGTTTGTTGCTGTTTTTTTTTTTTTTTTTTTTTTTTTTGGGGGGGGGGGGGGGGGGGGCAAGGCGCAGACGCCGTTTTCACACTGCATGGAAGTTGAACAGCGTTCGGAAAGCGATTGCGAACCTGGTTGCATACAGATCTAAAAACATTTCACGTGCGTTTGACGATGAAAACAAGCGGGTCCGCTTCCCGGCTGCGATTCGAACGGCAGAGTGAATGCGCCTTAACTGCAGAAGATCTCTCCCCGCCAAAACGAACTGACAGGTGCTTCTTGTCTGCTGGAGCCGCCAGTGCTTTCATCAGCAATGCAAGGGCATGTGCGTCGCTCCGAACATCTTTAGAGTTTGACGATTTCCGTTTCCGCAGTAGTCAATGCGGACTTAAAAAGTGATGCCGAAATCACTGCTGTCGCTACGCTGATTCTCGACGAAATGCGTGAGCATTTAGCGCTGGAGTTCCGACTCGACGAGGAATGGGAATCCCAACCTCGCAACGGTTTGCATACAGCTGTATTCGGGTAGCCAGGTCTGCAGTTATCCCGTGCGTCGGCGGTTTCAATTGCAGCCGCCACAGCTTCCCCCCAATCGCCACCTACGGTCTGCAGACTGTTGTCTTCGAAGAGCCTCTCTTTCCTCCCGGGAGTCGGCGGTTTCGGGCAAACGGGGTTGACGCTGCACCTTGCTTTTACGTTGTCGCGTACGAACATACGTGCCACCGCCCACAGCCGTTCATATCCTTCTCTCCCACTCCCGCGGCGCGTCATTGGAAGCGTGCCAGGATACTCTTTTCTTCTTGTGAGAAGGAAAGTAGACGTAACGAGCGAATGAACGAAGCGAAAGAACACGGCGGGAACCGCGCATATTTGCGTCCACGTATCCAGTCCATCCAATCCAAACCTTGGCTGTCCAAACGAAAGACGGCTGCATGCACCGGGGCAATGAATGCTCACGCATTCAAAATATTGCCGAAGGAGCGATGCTTACCGAGCGCAAGCCGACCGTTGACGCAGTGCTCGTGTCCAATCCGTGAGCTGCGTCCGACCGTGACGCACGTACCCGACACCGTTTGGAACGATCACGACGAAGTCGCTCTATCGCTGATTCACTCTTGTAGTCGCAGACAGCCTGAGAAACGCAGGGAGCATTTCATTATTGCACCGCAGCCAATGAGATTGCGGCATGAAACGATAAGAATGCCGAAGAGCCAATCACGAAGCAATAATTGTAAACATAGTGAGCCACTCCCTGCGGACTGCAAGTTCGTCTGCTCCTTTTGCAGGGTTTGCGGTGACGTCAAAACGACGCCAAGTTCTGATTGGCTCTGATTGAAATATAGTAGGCAGCTTGCTTTGAGCTTTACCCACTACCCTTCAATCAGAACCAATAAGAACTCGGCGTCGTTTTGACGTCACCGCAACCCTTGCAAAAGAAGCAGACGAACTTGCAGTCCGCATAGTTTCAATATTTCACGAAGAAAATAACGTTTCTGGCTGGTTAACCTCAGGCGATACTTCTTTCTCGTATCACGAAATATGTAGCTACTAAAATTGCAATCTACTCCGTAAAGCACTTTAAAAGAGCTGCTTGAGTGTCTCTTGTGCCGGTGCTGAACTCAGCTCATTGCTTGAGCCGGATTGACACTCCTGCGCTGAAATGGCTCGAACCGTTCTCGGTGACAACTTTTTTTTCTTCTGGCACCTGCGAACAAGTGAAGACTGCGTGAGCACAGCTGTGATCGGAGCTCAATGTGCGCGAGCGCACGGGTACCGTATTTACTCGAGTAATAGCCGCACTATTTATGAACAAGGCCTTTGAGTCTACTTTCCCACAGAACATAAAGATACAGCCAATCATTGCGTTGCGCATACATAACGTAGTGAATTACCAGATCGAGAAGACGATTCTCCATAGGAATTCAATGTTCACAGATGGTGCCTTCGCACGCAAACGTTATCTCTGTCCTGTAAACAGCTGGTATCATGCTGTCGATCGCGGTGATTGACAATCAGCGTGTTCCGCAGAAAAGGGAACCCTCTGGTTTTCTTTATAAACAGTGCGGCTATTACTCGACTAAATACGGTATATCAACAGCTTTGGCTTCATTGGAAAGAAAAGTTGCCCCCAGGTATAACGGCTATTTTCGAGAAAAGGATTTTATAATATATACGACGTGTCCCACAATCTGCAGTTGCTGCATCTACTTGTTGGTCTACGCCCTTTATTCAGTGTGTGATCCATCTCTCGTGAATGGTTTTTCCTTGTTTTGCGTCTCTTTTTTTTTTCAGTTGAGTCATGTAATTAGGGGCTAGAGTCCCGTCAAAAAGAATATAAAAGAAGTATATAAAACAACATTGGGTTAATATTTTACTAACTATACGTAATGCTGGCTGAGTGGAAACCAGCACACTCTTGACGCCAGAAACGTGGTTTCGGCAGTAAAACTTTTAAAACAACGGGGGACACTTTAATTTGTTATCTACATTGAAAAAATGAGACGTTTACAAATACGTGTGATGCGAAATTAGAAGGCAGCTCTTGAGGAGGAGGAGGGAAGGGTACGGAAAGAAGGGTACTTTCCTTCTCCTCTGTACCCTCCCCACCTCCTCCTCCCCTCCTCCTTTCCCTTCCTACTTCTTCGTACGCTCCTCTCCTCCTGTGTACTCTCCATCCTCCTCCTCCTCCTTCGTAACCTCCCCTCCCTCACAGTTTCTCCGCCATATTTATCTGGAAAATTGAGGCAACGTGACCTCAACACCAATTCAGATTGGTGTTGGAAACTGAATTTGTTCATGGGTGACGTGACACGAAGTCATGTGACGTCGTTTTAGAGCGCAGCTCTTAGGGGCCCGTTCCCGGCTTGAGCGGCGTCGCCGTCGGCGTCGGCGTCGGCGTCGCCGTCGCCGTCGCCGTCGGCGTCGGCGTAACCACAACCCTCGTAACCCTCACGAGGGTTAGTAACCCTCGTGAGGGTAACCTTCACGAGGGTTACCCTCACGAGGGTCACGAGGGT